TTCGATAAATGCTAAATGCGCACTAACCCCGCGTAACTTAAACACGAACTCTCTCAATACACGTTTTACTATATTATTTTGGTAATTATTTTCAGTTTTAAATTGTTTTGATATTTTTTTTTTCAAAAAAATGACATTGAAATGGTTGAAAAGCCCGAATTTCACACACCTATATTACCGTCACTGCCACGGGATATCCTCCCACCAAATCAAACACAATTAGTGACCACCGGAAGTTGCCTAAAGTGCTCAAATAAAATCCATGATGGTTCCTATAAGTCAAAACAAAACCAAAGTAATGATTTTTTTTTCCAAGAACAACCTACTGTTAAAAATTAATAAGGGAAAATAAAAGCACATATATACAGAGTTCAATGAACTCAATTCAGCAAAACTATGGGAAGCTTGAGAGTGTACTTGAAGCTTGAATTGTTGTAATCCTACTATTCACATAGTGAAATATTTTGTTGAATTAAGTCCCGTGATTTTTACTATGCATTAGGGAAGATTTTTCACGTTAAAAATGCTATTCATTTCTCTCTTTCTCTCCATCTCTGTTTTTCGATGTTTTCTGCATTTGTGCATTCGGACTAACCTACCGATAGTAGACCGACCTCCAAGTGTCAGGATGGTGAGCTCGATTTGATGACTTGTGGTTAGGGATGTACATGGGTCGAACTGAACCAGATTTTTTGAAAAACCGAACCGAATTGGTTTAAATGGTTCGGTTCGAAAGTGGTTCGGTTCAGTTTAAAACTGGTTCTGTAACACCCCGTATATATCCGGTTTGTTATCATGTCATCATATTAAGCCACGCTTAATTTAAAATTGCGGAATATCTTTTCTTTTCAATTATGACGTCATTATCAATTACCAGCTTGATTACTTAATCATTTTTCAAAACATTGCCTGTATGTAAATTGCAAATAAACAGCTAACTGAAATACCTCCTTAAATAAATAACATAAGTGTGTCTCTAGTCACGAAACTACAACACGTAGACCGGACAACCTACTAAGTTATACAACTCAACTCAAAGGACTAACATAAAGTGGCATGGACAAACCCCATGCTCACCCAAATAAGGCATCAAGCCCAACATAAGTCTCAAAATCAATTGCATAATAATAAGGCGGAAAACATAACAGCATCCAATCCAGACATGTCAGCATAAATATAACAGCAATATCATCAGCTAAGCTCTGGCCTCCTGCCGCCAGAGGCATCAGCCCCCAAGTTACCTGATCCTGATATAAGCGCCCCAAGCGTGGGGTGAGATCTCTAAACAAGAAATCTCAGTAAGACAAGGGGTCCTCAAGGATCTTCCACCCCAAGCTCACTTACATGTGCAATATAAGTTCTAAAAGCAGTAATTCAGTATCAGTTCCAAAATCAATGCAATGCAACAGATATTCATGTCATGTGTGTTATAACTATTCTACTGATCAGAGAAGTGCAAGAATACGTCTATTACCCACACAGTATCAGCCCATGCTATACCAGCCCATGCTGTATTCGCCCACAGGATCGCCCCATGGCCTCCTGTGTAGGCGTCACACCACATACATATCATAAAGCATTTGCACTTAACCGCTCCATAGCATTTCAATAAAATAGTACATGAAAACACATCATGCATATAACCATCCCCCCATGGGACATGGCGGAACAAACAATGGCTAAACCGAGGACACGAAAGCTTACCTTGCAAGCTAGCTATCCAAGCCAAGAGTCCACGATACCTCAGAGTCCACAAACAACAAGATCACAATCTGTTTGGACCAACAATATTATCAATATTTATGCACAACAAGCACATGATTTAAAAACAACGCCCTTCCTTTACGTTTTACGTCTTTAGACTTCTCACAAAGTCATAAGCCCTTAATCCCTTGATTCTGACTTATATTAATTATTACAGAAGTTTAACTTCATCAACATAGGGTCTACTAACCCATAACTCAGTTCTGTATGAACAGTACCTTCACTGTTCACGAAAACCCAAAATATCCGGATATTTGTCGGGGACATATCCGGATATCAATATCTGGATATCATATCCGGATATCCATATCCGGATAGACCCCATATCCGAATATCAATATCTGGATACCATATCCGGATATCAATATCCGGATTTACATATCCGGATATTTCACGACAGAATGCAACTTCTGCATTTCGCGAAAATAACCAACAAAGGTCCAACTTTTACCATTTCAAAACGTTCAAGACTTTATTTTTAGGCACATTTAGGTTCATACTCAGATTACATACTTGTTTAACTTATTAAACATGCCAATACATCTCTTTTAACCAATTAAACTCAAGACCAAAGGTTGTAACACTTACCAAAGTTCAAAAAGAAGCAAAGGCTGCTCTTGGAACTCACAATCAGCCTCCAAGGTTCTGACTTCGTAGGGAAACGAAAATGGCACACAAGGTGGGTCTTTTTTTAACAAAGAAAGTTCCATGGAGCTCCACAAGCCAAGAAAATGAAGCTCATAACCAAAACACCCAACTCAGCCCCTACACACACCAAACTCAGTCACCAACACTCAGAAATGGTATTCCTTTCCCACTCACAATGATGATTCACACTCACCCAAGGTGATTTGGTGAAGGAACCACTACTAGAAAAGTCGCGAATAGCGAGGGAAATTTGTGAGGGAAAATTTCCCTGTGCAAACTGCGACGGAATTTGCGAGGGAAAATACAATTGAGACGGAAAATAGGCGAATTTTTCGTTACTACAATACTGTCGCAGAATCCCTTGCAGATCGGTTGCATTTCGGTCGCAATTTGCGAGGGAATTTAAATCCCTTGCAAACATCATAAGTCTGTGACGGAAACTAGCGAGGGAAAATATTGGCGACTGAAGTTCCCTCGCAAAATCTAGGACAAATAATTGCGACTGAAATTTCATAATTTCCCTCACAAATTCCCTCGCAAATTGCGAGGGAATATATTTCCTCTCAAATTACAAGGGAAAGACGGAATATATTCCCTCACAAAATTCAAAAATAATATATAAATCAAATTTAAAAGGGACAAGGGCATAAATTGGTCGCCGCATCATGCGTATGAGAAAAAGTCATTAAATATGTCGCTGCATCCTTTATGGCAGACATTGAGTGCATGTAGTGACAGTAGTGCCTATATATGTCAGCTAGTCATAGGAAAGATAAGACTCTGTTGATATTTAAGGTGTGTGTAAAAATTGTTCAATAATGAGAAGCAGAGAAAAATGTCTGAAAGATTCCTGTTCCAACCACCCTCGTCGTCATCACTGTACAAATTAAATGAAAAGTGACACAAGCTTCCGATGCCACCAAAAAGGGCATTGGTCTTTGTAGTTGGGCTTTAACCACTTAATTAAAAGTCAAGTCCAGCCCAATAAAGAAAGCTAGGGTTCCCAATTCAAGATGTTCAGCAGCCTTTTGAATGTGCATGAATAGCGTTTTGAAGACAAAGGAGTATGAAAATCAGTCACTATAAGAGAAAATAGAGAGAGAGGCATTTCAGAAACTTCACAGAAGAATTGAAGAAGGTGTAATCTTTGATTATTCTACGCTATATCTTTCATCTACCTCCAGCTGAGATTCTGTTAGTAGCATCACCAGAAATTCGAAACCGACACTACTATGTGTGTACGATTCTATTGCAGGCAGCAATCTTGAGAGAATGTTTTTTTTTTCTTAAGTTCACTGTTGGATCGTGCTGAAATACTTTAAGCAAGAGTTACACTCATTATACTTCATATCTAACGGTCAGTTTGTCGATTGGAGCTCTCACACAAACACACACACACACACACACACACACACACACACACACACACACACACACACACACACACACACATATCTAACGGTCAGTTTGTCGATTGGAGCTCTCACACAAACACACACACACACACACACACACACACACACACACATATATGACTTTGAATGTGTGAGAGTAGCATTTTACTGACAAGAATACAAGCGAAATCAATCACAATAAGAGAAAAGAGAGAAGAAACCTTCAGAAAATAAGCTAATTTAAGAACAAGAATGAACAGTCCTTGATCATTTTTTGATATGTCCTCATTTACTGTCCGATCGAGCTGAGATTTTGTTGGCATATTCCTGACTCATCATTATTCATATCCAACGGTGGCATTTTTGGTTGGAGGCCTGTAGCATCACGAGAAATTCTAAACCGAAGTGGTTTGTGTGTAGGATTCTGTTTTAGGCAGCGATCTTGAGAGAATATTTTTTTTTAAGTCCACCGTTGGATCGTGCTAAAATACTTTAAGTAAGGGTTGCACTTATTATACTTTCTAGGATCGTGCTAAACACTTGAATTATTTAATGTTTGAATATGATGAAATAAGGGAGGGAACGATCAAAGCCGAGTATTATAAATAATTTAATATAAAACTAATAATATAAATAAGAAAAAGGTAATTAAAAGAAAAAAGAAACAAATACGTAACTTTATCGTAAATATTTTTTAATAATTAAAATTAAAAAATGTGATGATCAGTATTATTAATGAAAAAAGATATGAATAATATTATTATTTTTTGCCATTATTTTAAAATAAACGGATCCTTCTCTTTAGTGTAATTTATAAAAATTTATAAAAAAAATTTGTAAACGGAGATAAAGCGTAATTTATACACAAAAAGTATGTTAATAAATATTGGAAATAAAATTAATTAATTTGGAATATTTTAATTAAATAAAATAACATAAAGTATTCATTCATCTCAAAAGGATGAATTTTTAGTGTGGTTAATTAAATATTATATTTTTAATCAAAGAGAATGCTTTAAATATAAAAAATATATATCTCTGCGCATAATTAATTCTTAAAAAACTATTTTATAACTATTAGTGATAGATTATGAATATGGTTATAACTATTATTTTATAATTAAATTTATTGACTAATATATTACCAAATTTATAATTTATATTGGGAAGATAAATCGACATTTCATTGCCCTACTTTTCTTTTTTCACTTCTCGCTTTCCCTTTTTCATAGGCTAATAGGCTCCATAATCTCCACCGCAATCGAACACGCGTTCTCCTTCTTCTTCGCCGTCTCCATCTCCACCGGCTATTCCTCCTGCCGCGTCAACCCCGTCGTCAGCCTTGGCGCCTTCAACAGCAGCAACATCACAATCCAGCGCTGTGTCTTCTACTGGTTCACCCAGCTGCTCGCCTCCGTCGTCGCCTGCGCAGTCCTCATGATCGCTACCACTTGACAGGTATGACCCATATGATAATCATTAATTATGTTAGTTCAGGTTTCCTTGGTATCCTATAAAACCCTCATGATATTTCTGCCTTTTTCTGTTTTTTTGGTGATTATCTCACATTTTGTCTAAAGAACGCATGCGAATAGTTTAGAAACAACTGTTCCTAAATATTTGGATTGAAACACTCGAATGAAATGGTTTGAGCCTTTGACCCTTTTTTCCTTAATTAAATCTAGACAGTTCAGTTAAAAAAGAAATCGTTTAAGATTTGAAACAGAAACACCAAACTACCCCAACAGTTTTTCATCCAATTTAATAAAGATTCAACTGGTTTGCTATTTTTTTGGCAAGTTTTTCTGTTGAGATCTTTAGTAGGTTTTCTGCAGAGGACAATTTTTATTTTTATTTTTGGTTTGTAATGAAAAAATGTTTAGAAAAAAAAAATTGTCATATTCAAAGGACAAAGCATGTCACAAATCTGAACAAGGGTTTACTTTAGTAATAAGGGGTAACATATTAATAAAATGGACCATTCTCTGACAAAGCGGTTCCTCTTGTGAAATATATTCTAAGGTTCCTCTTGTGAATCTAAGTTTGATTGAGTTACAACTCGATAGGTACCATATACTACCTAGCTAGGCCAGCCTGAACTTTTTCGTCTTAAGGACAAAAAGACTCACACTACTTAGTCCACAACTTGTAGAAGCTAATTAATGAAAGCAAGCACAACAAAGTCATCACTGAAACATTTGTCATAATACTCAGTTTTTCATAAGAGTGGGTGTCCATCTCTCAGAGTATCCAATTTTTTTTTGGGTACAAAGATACCCATATTGGCATATGAGGAATCAAACGATGACGAACAAGATATTTATTCAAATAGTGAGCCTGAATTCGATGATTATGAGAGTCCAGAGGAAGGTGGGCAAGAAGAATTCGAAGAACAGGAATCGTTCGATTGATTTTAGTTATTCTTTCTTTAAGCTTATTTGTTGTACTAAATAAATAATTTTTATTCACAGGCCACATGTTATATGTATTATACAATTATGTTTTATATTTTTTATCTTTTAGGATCTCTGTATGGTGTATGCATCCATTAGTGACAAATGGATGGCCATAGTGGTAGACGTCGTATTGCATACTTATTATATTTATATATATTTTTGCATTATGTTTATAAGTTTTCACAGATGGTTCATATGGATGGGCGTACTGGTAGTGATGGTAATGTCGGTAGAGGTCGAGTTACAGGCCGTGGTGGCAGAGGAGGTAGGACGACATCATCTACCCCCTCTGGTAGAGGTCGTACAGCTTCCTCATCCCTCCCTCCACTTTGGATAGGATCATCACCATCTACCACCGACTCTGTTATGGGAAGTGCAGGTATTCCTCACACTCTCACTGACCCGATGGGGCCAACACAACAGGTTAAGTAAACCATCATTTTGTGATTTAGATATATATTATAGTTTCTTTTAAGCATCTCTGTACTAACTTTTTTAATGCTTAACATTTTTTTCCCTTTTGCAGGCTGCATCCCCTGCAAGCGAGGTAGGAGATGCTGCTTCGGCACTTCAACCAGAGTGGGGGAGGTGTGATCCACAGACTAAACGTATATGGGTTCGTCCTTTAGGCACCACAAAGTAAGTTGTAATTGTTACTAATGATGTACTAATGTGGCTTCTAGCATTGCTCAATCGTTATAATCAAATAAATTGATTTAATATTGTCAGGTTCGAACCTTATGATGAGATCATGGAATTCATTAATAATCAAATATTCCGTAATTTTAAACATGTATGGAGCACCTGGAAAGACTTTCCTAAAGAAACTCGTCTTGGTTGGTTGAATGAATTCCTGATAAGTTATGTATATCTCGTTAATGCTAATGTTTTATTACAAAAATGTATACTAACTACACATTTGTCACCAATTTGTGCGCTAATCGAAAAAATTGACAATTTACAGAATCATTATAGGTGGTTGCCCGAGGATCGCCATAACCTGGCAAGAGCTTGGCATCACAGAGCCATCACAATGTTCGCATATAAAATGCATAAAGTAAGATTTGACATCGGCAAAAATGCATGGTGTAGTGAATCATTAAAAATCCAATTGAAAGAAAATGGAAAAACTGTCCTTAAGTTTCAAAAGAGATCTGCTCAAAATAAGGAAAATAGGGCCAAGTAGGACACACCCACATATGCTGGAGGGTCGATTCCAATCAGCAAGCATAGACAAAAGATAGTAAGTATAAATTGTTTTCTAGTTCGGTATTCAACAATTTGTACTTGCAACTAATGAATTAATGATTTTCATTTGTATTTCCAGGAGGCTTCTGGAGAAGTGCCGCTTGAAAAGGTTGATTGGGCTATCTTCGAGCGAACTCATTCCCAGCAGCCTGAAGCTGGTCAAAGGCGGTGGTTAGGCCCCAGAGCGGAGCTAATAGCGGTTTGATCATTTATTATTTGATGTTTGTTTTTTCTATGATAGTTTATGTCATGTTTTACATGTTTTAATGTGTGTTGGATTTTCTTTACTTGCAGGAAAATTATCAAAAACTTGAAGAGGAGAGGTCCGCACAGGCGACGACAGACGGTCAATCCAGCTCCTCCTATTCCGATAATGGGAACATGTTGGTTACAGCTGCAGGTGGATTCAACAAGAAAGGAAGGGTGGTCGGGCTGGGAGGATATGCTAGCCGGCTGAAGCCTAGTAAGCGGCCCTCTACCCAGGTTGACAGTGTTTCTGAAGGTAAACTCAATGCATAGTTGATTCTTTTATGTTTTCAATCTCTATTCTATTAATATTTTATTTTAAACATTTAACTTACTGTTTTATAATAATGTATTTGTAGATGAGCTTAAAAGGATGAGGGTGTCCCACTCCCAGATTCAGGAGCAATTGCATGCTGCGACAGAGCAGCTAACTCAGCAAGCGAACTTTATGAAGCAACAAGCTAACATTATGAAAAAAATGCAGGAACAACTCCGACTTTTAATGCAGGACAAGGAAGCCAACTGCAACAAGTCGAAGGGACCGGCGCAGGGTGATGACCCTGATGAAGATGATGACTTTGCTAGGACTTTAGAGGCATACTAGTTGTTGTTTGTATGTTTTACTTCTTTTAGGACTTCAGAGATATATCAGATATTTTTTGTATGTTTTATTTTGTTTAGAACTTTAGAGACATTTCAGTTGTAGAGTTGATGGTTGTTGTTGTTCACTTTTGTTGATATACTATTTAATTTTAATTTAATTGTTTATCCAGTATTTTTTTGGATTTATGTTGCTCAATTTATGTATTTACATTCATTTGGAATCCTTGTTGTTTACAGGAAAATTAACAAAAGTTTAATATATTTTTTTTATTTTCTTATTTTAATTCCAGAATTTGTGGCGGAAATTTTCAAAATTTCCTTGCAAAATTTGTAGCCTTTTGCGAGGGAAAATCAAAATGTTTCTTTGCAAATTTTGCAACGAAAATTTAATACAGCCCTTGCAAATCCTGCTACGAAAATTAGCGAGGAAAATTACAATAGCAATTTCCGTCGCAATCTGCGACGGAAAAACACTATAGATAGGTCTGTTGTTAGCGAGGGAAATTTACTTTTTTGCAAGGAAACTTTTCCGTAGCAATTTGCGAGGGAATTGTCATATGACAAATTTCCCTTGCAAATCTATTTGCGACGAGGGTTTTAGCGAGGGACCGTGTTCCCTCGCAAATTCCGTCGCAGACAGTTTTTGCAAGGGAACTTTGCTATTTTGCAAGGAAATTTTTCCCTCGCTGATTGTGAATTTTCTAGTAGTGAACCAAGAAGAAAAGAGGCTTCTTGACTCACAAAAATGGAGGAGAAGGTGGCAAGGGTGGCTGACTTCAAAGGCACCAGATTTTTCACGAAGGAGGCAGCACATATGACCTAGGATAATGTGCCACAAGGTATATATAGTCACTTAAGTTTTAATCGCACTGTATTAGTGCTAAATGCTACGCTTAGCATTTTAATCCCAAACTTTGAAATCTGAACCTACTCATTTTTCTAAGCTTTGTCATATTTTTATTTTATTTTTCGCAGCACCTTTCCGGTAAGCGCTTTTCCATAGCCAGTATCAGTTCTGGCACCAGATGTAATTATTTTAACTTGAAACTCGCTTTACAAGTCCTATATACTATTCTAGGAATATTCATCCATTTATTATAATTTCCGAGATACTTTATCGGTATGCATTTATACCGAGTAGCAGAACCGGTATCTGCACTTTTCGTCCGAAAAGCGACTTTCAGCATTATTAACCACTTTCTATATTTATTTAAGCCTCATAATCATTATTAAGGTCAATTATGGAATTATTTTCTAATTTCACATAATTAATTAATTAACTTCCTTAATTAACGGTGCGAGTTCTTACATTCACCCTACTTTTTAAGGATTTTGTCCTCAAAATAAGAATATATCTGTCTCTGAAGTCGGGATACTGCCGGAGAAGCTCATCCTCTCGCTCCCAGGTACACTCTTCAGGAGTTCTTTCTGTCCATTGCACTTTGACCATCGGAATGATCTTGCTCCTCAGCTGCTTCTCGCCACGATCGAGAATTCGGAGTGGTCCGACGGGAGTTCTCCAGTTCTCCCAAACCTCCACATCATCCGGTTGCACCACGTACGAAGGATCCGCTACGTATTTCTGAAGCTGAGACACGTGAAACACGTCGTTGATGTTGGCTAGGTTCGGAGGCAAGGCAAGCCGGTAGGCAACAGGTCCTACTCTACCAAGGATCTGGTATGGCCCAATAAACTCCGGGCTCAGCTTCCTCACTCCGAGTGCTCGTCCAACACCGGTAACAGGTGAAAGTCTCACAAACACGTACTCACCCTCACTGAACTCCAGTGGACGATGCTTAACATCATAATAACTCTTCTGGCGATTCTGCGCCTGCTTCAACTTTTCCCTGATCATCTGGATCTGCAGGGTGGTATCTTGGACAAAGTCCAAGCCAAACAACTCTCTATCTCCAACCTCAGACCAGCAGGTAGGAGTCCGACACCTCCTACCATACAACGCCTCGTACGGTGCCATGCCCAGGCTAGCAAGAAAACTGTTGTTATACGAAAACTCAACCAACGGAAGGTACTTATCCCATGCTGAAACCTTTTCCAACGTTCAACCCCTCAACATGTCCTCCAATGTCTGGATGGTCCGCTCAGTCTGTCCATCAGTCTGAGGGTGATAGGTTGTACTCAGTCTCAACTGCGTACCAAAAGCCTCCTGCAGCGCTTCCCAGAACCGAGATGTGAACTTCGGGTCCCTATCGCTAATGATACTCTCGGGCATCCCGTGAAGTCTCTCAATCTCGCGAACATAAAGTCTGGCCAACAACTCAGTAGTGAAGCTCACCTTCACCAGAAGAAAGTGGGCAGACTTGGTCAATATGTCCACAATGACCCAGATAGAGTCATAACCAGCCTGAGTCTTCGGTAATCCCACCACAAAGTCCATGGAAATGCTATCCCATTTCCATTCCGGAATCTCAAGATGTTGCAGTTTACCAGACGGCTTCTGGTGTTCTATCTTCACCTTTTGGCAAACTAAGCACTTGGACACAAAAATAGCTATGTCCTTCTTTATGCCCGGCCACCAATAGTTCCTCTTCAAGTCCTGATACATCTTGGTAGCACCAGGGTGGACAGTAAACTGACCATTATGAGCCTCTGTCATCACCTCAACAGTCAACGGACCTCGAGGAACCACAATCCTCTTCTGAAAGGTCAACAACCCATCCTCATTCCAAGACACTCCGTCTTGGTTCTTCACATAATCAAGGCACTCTATCTGAATTTGCGCCTCTTTGATCTTTTCCATGAGCTCGTTCTCCACTTGCACGGTTTCCATTTCGAGAAGTGCACCCCCAAACAAGGAAGTCACTGTCAGATCTCGAAACTGCTCAATGATGTCATAATCTCCCATGGTCAAACTGGATAGACTCACGGATTTCCAACTCAAAGCATCAGCTATCACATTGGCCTTGCCGGGGTGGTACTTCAACTCAAAGTCGTAGTCCTTCAGATACTCCATCCATCTCCTTTGTCTCATGTTCAGCTCCTTCTGATCAAACAGATACTTCAAGCTCATATGGTCATTGAACACAGCAGACTTCATCCCAACCAGGTAATGCCTTCAAATCTTGAAAGCAAATACAATAGCAGCCAACTCCAAATCATGAGTCGGGTAGTTCTCCTCATGAGGCTTCAACTGCCTCGAAGCATAGGCGATCACTTTGCCCAACTGCATTAACACACATCCGAGCCCCTTTCCGGAAGCGTCGGTGTACAACTTTACTTCCTCAACAGGATCAGGAAGGACCAACACAGGTGCAGTAGTCAGTCTCTCCTTCAACTCCTGGAAACATTCTTCACACTCGTGAGTCCACACAAATGGAGTCTCCTTGCAGGTAAGGCGAGTCAATGGAAGAACCAGCATGGAAAATCCCCTGCCAAACCCAGAAAACTCCTCACTTCGGTTACCGTCTTGGGCCTCTCCCAATCTAGCACGGCCTCAATCTTGTTCGGGTCAACTGCAACTCCTTCTGCAGAAATCACATGGCCAAGAAACTTCACAGACTTGAGCCAAAACTCACATTTCGAAGGCTTAGCATAAAGCCTTTTCTCCTTCAGCACTTGCAACACAATCTTCAAGTGCTCAACATGCTCATTCTCTGTCTTGGAGTAAATCAAAATGTCGTCAATGAAGACAATCACAAACTGATCCAGGTACGGATGGAAAATCATGTTCATGTAATCCATGAACACAGCAGGTGCATTTGTGAATCCAAAAGGAATCACCAAATACTCATAGTGACTGTATCTCGAACGAAACGCGGTCTTCGGGATATCCTCCGGCTTCACCCGAATCTGATGGTATCTGGACCGGAGATCGATCTTCGAATACACACAAGCACCCTTCAGTTGATCCAACAGATCATCAATGCGTGGAAGGGGATACTTGTTCTTGATTGTCACCTTGTTCAGCTACCTGTAGTCGGTGCACAATCGCATAGTTCCGTCTTTCTTCTTCACAAAAATGACCGGTGCTCCCCATAGAGACACACTCGGTCGAATGAAGCTTTTCCCTGAAAGGTCCTCAATGTGCTTCTTCAGCTCAGCCAACTCTGGTGGCGACATCCGATATGGAGTCAATGAAACGAGCCCCACACCAGGCAATAAGTCAATAGAGAACTCAATCTCCCTCTGCGGCGGAAACTCAGGGATGTCCTCAGGAAATACCTCGAGGAACTCCCTCACCATAGGAATGCCAGTGATATCCTCCTGTGTCCCACTCACCAAACCTACCAACATCACATAGCCAAAGGCCCCTGCTCTCAAGGCCCTCCTAGTCTGCAGGACTGAAATGAACGGCGAGGAACTGGCTGTGGACCCACACGGTGACAACACCACTCTTTTGGCACAAGAATCAATCAAAGCATAATTTTTGGACAGCCAATCCATGCCCAGAATAATCTCAAGGTTGGCCATCGATAATCCTATCAGATCCACCGAGAACTCACAGCCATCCCACTGAAACGTCACATCGCAATGAACAGTGGAGGAATCACACCTTTCTCCGGTGGCGGTGGTCACCCGCAAAGGTGGAGAAAGAACAGACATGGGAAACTCAAGCCCCACAGCAATCGGGGTAGCAATGAAGGAATGCGTAGCCCCGGAGTCAAACAATACATCAACAGAAGATCCACCAATGGAAATAGTACCTCTAACCAGTTTCGGAGCTCCGTCCGACTGCTGACGATCTAAAGTATACACTCGCCCCGTGGCAGGTGGCACCTCTGGTGCCGCTGTAGGTGGAAGGGGAACCATCCGCAATGGAACTGCCTGAACTGCTGCAGCTCTCGCCGTCGATGACGGACACTCTCTAGCATAGTGGCCCTCCTTGCCACACTAGAAACAGATAGTCTGACTGGTAGCACACGGCCCCAAATGAACCTTCCCACAACCCGAGCATCTGGGAGTAAGAGGTCTCGTTGAACTCCCCTGAGTGAAACTCCTCTTGAACTGACTAGGCGCCTGCCTAGCAGCCAACTGCTTCCCTTTGCCTTTGCTAGCAAACTCCCTGTCCTTCCAGGAAGTGGAACTACCAGCTACCTTCATCTCAGCCACCTTGGCCCTCTTGGCGTTACTCGAGTTACAGAAATCCTCGATATCCCGACACTGCTGCACCAGTGTCCCGAAGTTTCTAGAAGCAGACCCCGCAAGGTAACCAGA